AACGGTGAAGTTGGAGTTGCCAGTTACAAATTTAATTCGGACGCAGTCTGGACCGATCGCGTTCCAATTTCACATTGAGGAATATATTTGGATATACCTATTCTCTGATTCTGTTCGGTGTTTCCAATATATTCGGTTTATTTTTAAAATATCTAGTCTAGTAGTGAAGTTACAAAATATTTAACATTTTAAACGCGATATATAATAGTTAAACTTAATTAATCATTATTATTGTAACAACGGCCCGACGTTTCGGCTGCTTTGGCAGCACGGGAAGTCTCCCCGTAATATATATCGCGATTTAAACCGTTGAAGCGTTTTATTTATATGTGTACTCGCGTAAACTACAGACAGTAGTAATTAATCACTTATGTGTTTCATTATTTTGCTTCAACCGTTAATAATAGATGTAGAAATGAATAAACACTATAAAATAAAGGTAATCGCTAAAAATTTTAATACTTATGTGACAGCTACACCTCTCGTGCAACGTGATTTCAACCTTAATACTTCGTACGCTATTAAACCTATAATGATTTTTACATTTTCTTTTATTTGCAAGACAAATATTAATATTTTAATTTATCAGTTATTGTTTCTACCTTATATGTTATTATTATACCCTTAAACAAAACGCCAAACTAAAACTTCACAGAGCAAAGTGCAGTCTTAATAACTTCGAACTTGCATTTTCCCAAATAGGATCCAAAAGAAAGCAAATACCACATCTACCCAAAGTTATCTCAGTTCGATCGAGCTTGAATTGTGTTCTTTACAGGGGAATAAAAGTTGCTAGCAATCAGCTGATTAAACGAATGTTATCGACCAGAAATGGACCGTAATTCACTTAAATAGAGTCCTTATTTCATCGTACTCCTAACGTGAATACTCCTGGAAAATTAGATAAAGGCAGTAATTCTGTTGAAATTAGAAGTTGCTCGACTAATTTGTGAGGTAATGTGTGAGTTAAATGCTTCGTGAGATTTATTAAAGAGTCGGTGAAATACGGGCGTAGACGATAACCCAGTTCCGACTTAAAACGTGAATCTTAGAAAATCTTTGATATTCATCTTAATCTCAACATAGTGCAGATCTCATTATATAAGACTGAACCATATGAATACACTAGCTCCGTGGCTCAATCGTTAAATCTATTTTCGTTTAGATGTCGTGGGTTCAAATACCGGGAAAGTATATTGGATTAGGCAGGGCACGTTGGTCTAATGGTAGCAATGTGTGGCTAATAATCACCGGGTCGTGGGTTCGATCCCCACCGGGTTTCTAATATTTCAATTCTGAAACATGTTGAAATTCCATACGGGTCACAAACTACTGTCCAGAGATAAAAAAAAAGCCATTACGTTTAATCGCATTTCGGTTTCAGTTAGAGGATTAGCAAAAATCCAAATCCAAAATAAGCCGACAGCACATCTTGTATAAAGTGAGAGACAACAAAAAACAAGAACAATAATTACACTTCCTCAATTTCAAGAATAGCAAGCGGTACCTCTAAGATATATCTAAGAACTACCGCCCTAGGGAAAGAATGATCTTTTTACCGAACTGAAGAAGTGTTAAAAGTTTAGTTCACAGTTCCGAACAACTCTATCTTTTACATTTGCGATAAGTTGTTTCTTTGGCGCACTTTTATTCCCACTTCTAGTAAGTGCTATGTATTATAAATACGACCAACAAATATTTAAAAATAGATAGTATTATTATTTTATTTTGTTTCTTTGAACGCGCTTATCTTAGGGACTAACGGTTCGAATTGAAAAGTACGTTTTGTATTGGCTAAAGCTAAAAATTTATCTATATATTATCTATGTATTTATATATAGATAGCGAAGAAACAGCGAAGAATGTAAAAAAAACCGGAGTTCCTTGTTGATTTCCATTGCGTACGCTACGTACGAACGGTACAAGATACCCAAAAAATATGTATGTAAGAATGATTCCTCTTTAATATATGTCTATCTTTTAAGATTATCTTGCAAGAACAACACGACGCGACCGACGTCGTAGGCAAATGCTCAAATCGATAAAGATGAAGAGGACATTTGCAAAAACAAATTTAAATAATATTGAACGCGGACGAAGTTGGTGAATGGATGGTAATAAGAATATTGAAGTTCGTGTATAGGTGGCACTCACTAGATTCTAGTTTTTATTAATTTGTTAATTGGTTATGTGTTGTGTTTGTCGATTGGTTAGTATAAATGACATTTTGTCACACAGTCGATAAAAAGATAACGTTATGAGTTATAAATTAAACGCTATAATAAAAACGTAATCATAATGAAATATATTTTGTGTGCACAGAATATTATACGGCTAGTATACACGGTTTTACAATATTTTGCGCTCAGTGCTTTTATTATTCTGTAGGGAATTAACTTTCGACGTGGATGAAGCGGTGAAACTTTATATATAGCAACATCACTTTATTGTATTATTACTATCTTCACGTTCTGACCTTATTTTAGTGCAACTAGTATCTATAAAATAGTAAGTAGTATATGTTGCTACAGTAAAAGGTAAGGAAAAGGAGTAGAAAAGTAACATTTAAGTTTTTTATAATGTTTCCATCTTTCACTTCGAAAATATCTTTGCCATTAGAACGATTCTTATTGAAGAAAATATACTCACAATTATTAAATTAAATACATAAAATTATATATATTCTACATATAGAATTATTATTAAGAAAATGTTTTCTTTTAAATTCCAAGCACAATGATACATAAACAAAATATTAAAACCAGTCTCTAATACTAAGCAAGTCTTTCAACTATATAGTTAAAAAAACCAATGACGTGCAATTTCAAAATCGATTATATTTGTTGTTCTTTTTCCATTTCGTCTGCCAGATTGTTATGCAAAAATAGCCAATTGGTAAGTCGGGTTCATAAAACGCGGACTAAGACATTAATATTAATTATTGGCATATCATTAGGTTAATGAATACATGAATAAAGGGATACCGGACCAAAATCAACACGCATTTACAAATACGGTTTTACTGACAAAGCGAAACGTTAATGAAGTTTCATATATCTGTTAAATGAGGTCATTATACGATGATAGTTCGCATAAATCGTCACTGACCGGTGTAAATTCGCAGCTTTATTAACAATCCGTTTAATTAACCCCTTGTTAATAAAAAATACACAAGTCTGTACATACACAGACACGCGCATTCCTTATCCTAACAAAGTTGCTGTTTAACACAGTAAACGAAGCGACGTTTAAACAACGAAACACAAGTGGAATTATAATGTATAAAATTATCAGATTTTACCCAAAGCATATTATTTATTTCGTCCGATATACTTAAAAGTAAAGTGTTCCACCAGTGATGACGTACAGTACCAAAACATGGTCTCCTACTGGGAGCATGGTGCATAGACTACGCATCGCTCATCGTGCTTTGGGAAGGGCTATGCTCGGAGTTACCTTGCTTGTTCGAATCAGGATTGAGGAGATTCGTAAGAGAATTAAAGTCACTGACATACCCCATCGGATCAACAAGTTGAAGTGGCAGTGGGCTGGGCGCATCGCTCACAGAACTGACGGCCGTTGGGGCAAAAAGGTTTTAGAGTCGAAAACACGTCGCGGCTGGTCGCTACCAGGTGGACCGACGACCTGGTCAAGGCGGCAGGCAAACGCTGGATCTCAGTGTCTAACTATTAAATTCTTATCTATTACATTTCGGTTTTTACATCCGTTAAATGTTTTTTTTAATGTCTACTACTACAGACAGTAACTCTGTAACTCTATTTTATTAATTAATTATGTAAAGTTCCCTCTGCCTTCGATGCACTTAAATGGAAATTAATTTCGAAAGTCAAGGACCCTGTTTATTCTCTTCGTAAGTACATGATGCGTGGATGTTTCAGAGCTGGATGTTCATAAAAGGAAAATTATGTAGTGCCTCGACGCCCACTTTATTACATCGCTTCGATTATATCGTGAAACTTATACCTAGGTAATTCAGCTAAAGTATTTCGTTTCAATGGCTTTTAAACATATAGATACACATAAATACTTAAAGTTTAAGAACACGAAATGTTAAAAAACAACAGACCATTACTTGACTGGAAAACACTTTTAGGGAAATGTATTTACATATTATTTTAACCACGTCCCGACGGTCAGACATCATCCGAAAATATTTCGCGTTTTAAACTGTTAAAAGTGTTTTATTTAAGTGAGTATTTCTGTGTGATAAGAAAGTAACTACATACGGACTATGACTATATGAAATATATCTTTATCTACACTTATATTGAATACTTTAAAATCGACATACATTTATTTACGTTTAAAAAGTACTCTGAATTTCATAAAGGCATATTGTGTGCTTTTTTTAATCAAATCATTGTATTATTAATATTAACTGTCTCTATATCCTAGTTACGACATATTGACGTAAATTCATTTTGATATACAGTGTAATAGGTTTTTAGCTTCGTAGACGCCAAATCAAAAGCTTTACGTTGAGAGCAAAACTAAACTACCCTCTCTTGTGGTCTCGTTCATTCACCCGGCTCGTGGTCTTTGCAAATAGTCACGTTTGACGTTAGGCGCGTGTTTATCTGTACACAGTCAATAGACGAAATGCTTTTGGATATGATACGTTCATATAAACTCACGCTGTACCACTGTGATTGCGGGTTCGAGTCCCGAGCATGAATTATGTAAATTATTATTTTTTTAGATTGAAACAACTTTTTAAACTAAATTACGTATGAAAAATATGAAATACGATGTCGTCCGCGTTCCGTCGTTATTGCGAGTCAATCTCAAAAGATAGATAGATAGACTGTCTACCTAACACAAATATATTTTTTTCAATTCGAACCGGTAGTTTAGGATTAACGCATTTAAACTTATTACTATAGATAGAAGACCACGTGAGGCGAGTGCCCTAGGTGATAGGATCTAGATTAACTCTTGATTTCGGAGAATCTTTAATAATTGTATCTCGTTAAAATGATATGTTTGATGCTGTTTGTATTTTAGGTGAGTGACATTTGAATACCAACTAATCATGACCAAATACCAACTTCGACGAAACATATGGCCCTAGCGTAGCAGTTTTTACTTTGACGTCTAAGACACCCTCCATCTTTAGTCTCCCCGTGACCGCGGGAAAGCATCCGAAACGTCGGGCTGTAGTTAAAAATAATTTTCAAATAAGTTTAACTAATATCGTGTAATTTAAAAATTGAAAATAAATTAAAAACATTTTCGACTCGGGCAGGACTTGAACCGGCATCGTCAGCTTTCCGTGCTGTTGCTCTACCAATTGAGCTACCGAGTAATATCGTGTTTTAAATGCTTAGTAATAAAACACTCTATAAGCTCTCTGCTTATAGAGTGTTTTATTTCAATGACATGTTTGTTCGAGCCACAAGCGCGCTTTACAAAGCTTATGTCACTACGTTCTAGAAGGAATTTAAATATAATTTAACGGATCTTCTGCGACACTAATGCGTTTCGTGCTGCACTATATCACACTCGCTCCAATATTCTCACAGATTTACGTAATGGATGTGTAAAACATTCAAATGTTTACATAAGTTTTAGCAACGCGAACGGTTAAGATGTTTTAGCTTCGCGGTAATTATATTAAAAGGCTTTCCGCTTTTATCTAACGTTGAAGACCGAGATTGTGTTGTACTATGTGGAATGGACTTGTAATCGTGAGGTCGGGAGTTCGATCCCTGTTAACATCCTGATAGGTAGGTAGTTCTGGTAGATGTTAATCTAGTTGGGATATTAGCATTCATTAGAAAAAAAAACGATTGTTGTTGTCCCTTCAATATGGTGTATATTAAGGTCTATAAGAAGCCTAAGTCCTATCACTGGAAACTTTAAAGGCCACGCGTCAGAATAGACACATATAGTTACTGGTCGTACCTTCTATTATTAAAAAGACCTATTTTATCAATATTAATAACTGCTTGGCAAACCTTCTTTTGCCGTATGAAGTATTTCGACCAAATTTAATTACCATAAAAACTGTTCTTGCGAGTTAATCTTAGAAAATAGGCATATGTTGTTGCGAACATTATTAAAAAAGGAACCATTCTTTTGTAAGTATTTTTGGGTATCTGAAACCTTTTTTGCATCGCACGCAACGAAAACCCTCTAAGATGAATAATTTTCCCTGTTTTTTTCCACGTTTCCTTCTGTGCCTGCGCTCCTATTAGGCGCAGCCTTATGTTATATAACCTAAAGCCTTCCTCGATAAGTGCTCCAACAAACAAATACCATTTCCAATTCGAATTAGTAATTCCTGAGATTAGCGCGTTTTAAGAAACAAATTCTTCAAGTGAAGCACAGGAGAAAAGAAATAGAAAAAGGGTTTTTTTTTAAATCGAAATAAATTGACGAATTTTTTCAACTCGGGCAAGTCCTGAACCGGCATCGTCAGCGTTCCATGCTGTTGCGCTGAAAAATACTTATTGAGTGGTTAGGTGTAAGGAATAACAAACAATGGAAAAGGTACATCGTAAAAGTATACATAGTAAGTAGAAAATAACTTAATAGTATTTTAAATTTTAGTACATTGACTGTATTAAACGATGCTGAACGACTTTGCTGAAATTTATTCCTAGTATATAGTTTCCACGTTGATTGGTCATTAAAAATATTTTTATAAGCTTCCTGTCCATTCTGTCAAGTCTGAATAAAAGAATTCCTAGAAACGATACTAAACAAAGGAATATCGCAAGTTTATTTATTAATAAAGAATCATTTATCTCGCAGAGATAGCGTCCGATCGCTTCTGTGAAGTCTATAATGAGGAAAACACTTTGTTCTTGCCTTCACTACCTATTTCATTTTGAAATTAATTCTAGGAAAATTCTATGATAGAAGCATTTCGTTGCTTTAGCATAAAATAGTTAAACTATTTGCTTCCGGACAGAGTCTAAATAAAAGTTTATTTTTATTTTATTGTAAGTGCTACTTTACTACACTCACTTCCACTCTCACTCTCACTCTCACTCCTACTCCCACTTGAACTCCCACTCCCACTCCTATTCCCAAGAAGCCATAGAAGAAAGTTTCATTATTCTAGCTTCAAAAACCACAAATTTCCATACAAACTTTCATCCCCTTTTTCAAACCCTATTAAGCCTTTTTTGGCATAAAAGTAGCCTAGTCTTTTCTCAGGGTCTAGACCATCTGTATACCAAATTTCATTCAAATCTGTTTAGTAGTTTTGGCGTGAACGAGTAACAGACAGACAGACAGAGTTACTTTCGCATTTATAATATTATTAAGGATAATATTTAGGCCAAACTTATCAGAGATCTTTAACTTAAGTATTAATTGCGCGAGAAGTGAATGTATCAATATGTGGAAAAAATGATGATGACGTGTAGGACATGGTAGCTAAATTGACTAAAGCAACAGCACGGAACGCTGTGGATGCCGTTCTTAGTCCTTCCCGTGTCGTTATTTTTTTTAAAGATTAATTTTAAGAATAATAAATATGTCACTTAAGAGTTACAAGTAATCACAAGTTCAAAGTGAAAAAAAAAATAACGACACCGACAGACGCGTGGATCTTGAACCGGCATCACTTCCACAGTGGACACGTCATGTTTGAGTCCCTGTCACTAATTGATTTTATTAACGTGCAAATAGTTGTTCTGCCCGACTAAAATTATTAATTTTAACCAGAGATTTGAGCACAGAACAATTTATTATTTTATATTAAATTCAATTGTTCAGCTGTGTTCCCGGTCACAAGAAGGAACTAAAGTACATCTAAATTGTACGTACAATGAGGTTATAAAAACTATAATCGTATGAATAGTACAAAGCATATGTTGGAAGTTATGTGGTGTTTAATTCATATGTTTCAAATCCCGAAACGAGACATTTCACACCCCGACGACGTTCTGCTCAGTTTATTAAAGCTCATAAAATCCTTTGTCTCTCGCCGACGTCGTGTAATGTACACAATTAAGGTGAAAAGTGCATATAACTGAGTTTGTACTTGCACTCACGTACTTCTTATTAGTTATAGAGTTTTCTTATAATAGTACTAAAAACAACAAAAAAAATATATAAGTTAGGTATAGTAAAATTGTATGATTCGTAATTTGAACGGGCATTTTTTTCTTTTCATGCAGAGACAGTTGTGGGATCGATACCCGATACCGGGTCCAACATGTTTACAATTATATTTATTCTGAAATATGTTGGACTTCATCTGGAAATCTGGTGGTGTGGTGTGGTGGTGGAATATAGAAATTCCGCCCGGGTCACGAACCATCACAAATGAAAAGGACATGAAGTTTAATCACGTTTAGGTTTCAGTTTGTGAATTTCCGAATATCTCAGTTCAAAATTCCACGCACCTTGTTTACATTATATATAGGTTGCCTGTCCTTGTCTATCTTTTTTAAAAACGATTAGGCCGTTTATTATAATCCATTTTGGAAAAATAAGTAGTCTTTATTTTTCTTTTTAGTATTTTAGAAAAAAGTATTAATGCTCTTGTACCGAGTACAAGGTCCGAAATAAATTCTCTTAATAGCTTTGGGACGCTATTGAATTAACATTCTTTCATTTATTTGTTACAGATTCTAAGCGCGATCACTGCAATAAAACTGTCGAGATTTACGAAGACGTGTCTTCGCCCCCTGTTACGGCAGAGAATTTTGGACGACCCCTCACTTGTACCTATAGGTAGGTTTATCACGACTACTATAAAAATCGTAAACGAGAAGAAAATGTGTTGATACAAACAGAATTTGAAGCTGACAATTAAAACCTTGACGATCAAAAAGCCTCTGTAGCCAATTGGTTAAACGTATTGCCTAGCATTGCGTTAAGCGCGAGAGGTTCTGGATTCGAATCCCAAGGAAACAAAAAATTGTTTCGGTCGGGCAGGGAATAGAAGTCTTATCAACTGCTTGCCTGTTAAAGAGTGGATCATTGAAACGGACACATTAATGTGTTCGCCCCATGCCCCACGAGGGGGAAACGGGATTTCACTTTGATAAAAAAGCATATACCAAAATACACCAAAAGCAGCAATACAGAAATGTAGTAGTTGATTCGACTAACGCATTTTTTTTTATTTCAAGTATTATTTTATTTAATTTTAATAAAATTATTATTCCATAAGTCATGTATCATGGAAAGTCTTGTGATACAGATGTAATCTTATTGATATAGGAACTATTTTGGACATATTTTGTGGCATACGCGAGAGGTGGTATTTATACAGTAGCCCAATCGTGCCGAGCTGTGGTGGCATCCACCATGTTCATGTCCCGCTGCTGTCTTCTATTTTTATTATAAAACAGTCTAAATACATTTTTAATGTATTGTTATCTGTTTTTAGGTTTAGAGCGTTTCGAGGCTCACCAAAGGATTGGATTCTGCGAATACGGTTCAAGAAGTTCAAAGTGGGAACTTTGATCAATGGAACCACGTGTCACAAAGGTTATATGCAGGTCAGTTAAAAGTTTTTTTTTTTGTAAATTCATTGAATATCAATAGGAATTCAATACAAAGACACACAGCTGGGCCTAAGTGCCCTGTAGCTTAGGGGAGAGTTTTAAATATTTTAGTGTTACCCAGGATTGCCGAATTACTATTGGACGCACCCGGTTGACAACACCTCTTACTTCCAAGCTTTGTTTTCTTCCTTTGAAAATCCAAACACTAAGTAACATTTCAGTCAACCCCGGTCGAATCCGGGAATGGCAAATACACTAACTCTTAGATAAGCAACTCGGTTACTTGACGTATGTTATAAATGCAATCAGAGCGAAATAATAATCTTAAATTAATATATTTTGTGACTTTTAGATGAAATATGAAAAAAAACTACTTGAAGCATTCAAATAAAATTAGCTATGTTAGTTTTTATTAACACCTTCATAAAATATTGTTACGTCGTAACAATTTGAAGATGCGACGGCATTACAAAAAGACTTTTTTAGGTGTAAGAAGAAGAGAATGAAGCTTGCAAGACAATAAATTAAGTTATGACGTTTTGCTTTGTTTTTTTATGCACTTCGATAAAAAGTCTTCGAAATTAGTATTATAACACTAATTTTAAAGGTAAAATTATGCTAACGCAGTTCATAAGTCTAGTAATTGAGTTTAGCCGAGTTGCTAATTAATTTTCCAACTTGTAAAGTTGCCGGGAAGAGCAATTTGAAGGGATGATCATCGAATCGTGATTTCTTATAATTGGGAATTGCGTTACCTTTGAGCTTTTTCAGAAGTGATTAATTAAGGTGGGTTCGACATTTTTCCACTCTGAATTGTAGACATATAGCTTTTTAATGATTAAGCCAATCTATCAAAGCTTGTTTAATCTTTCATTAAAAAATTATCTAAAATATAGTGCCGAAATGTATTAATATTAGAGGTCCTGGGTTCGGATCCCAGAAAAAAAAGTTTATTTCGGTCAGACGGGGCACAGAAGTCTGATCAACTACTTGCCTGTATAAGACCGGATCAGTGAAACGGACACGGAAATATGTCCGCCCCATGCCCCACGACAGGGAATCAGGATTTCACACTAGATCGTAAATTTAAAATTTGTATATATAAAATTTAAAGAGCGAAAATCGAATAATTATCTGTTACCCTTGAAGTTAATGTTTAAATCAAAAACACAAATAAATCATTCCAACTATTTCGGCTAAAAATTCCTTTTCCATCAAATTATTATTGACGTAACGTCAATAATGGACTCTTTGTGTTAATAGTTTCGCAGCGCAATATTTACTCGGGTTTTTCAAATACCAATAATAAAAACTCGTACCTTTTTCATTTACAAATATAAATATTGCTCATTGGTCTGTGTTTTACTCAGTATTCATTCCTTCTTTTACCTTTTATTAAGTATTTATTGCACACATTCCATGACGAAGACGAGACGCGGTAGTTTAATGGTTTAAAGATATTGCTAAAGTAACAGCGTCGCTAATCGTGGGTTCAAGTCCTGCTAAATTTAATCAATATAGTAAGAAGCGAAAAATATAATTTAAATTATTTGTTTGAAAACGTTTATTATTTTTACATGTTGACAAATATATAATTTAAAAATCGAAAATAAATTGAAAAAAAAATTTTCGACTCGGGCAGGACTTGAACCGGCATCATCAGCGTTCCGCGCCGTTGCTCTACCAATGGAATTCAATTTATTTTCGATTTTTAAATTATTTGTTGTTTATTTTTGGTTGTCTGTTCGGATATTTCTTGTTAGGAACAGTTTCTCTAAGCAGGTATATTTAATGGTTTGATTGCTTATAGTTTGGTAAAGGATATAATTTTTAACGGGTCGTTGGTGTAATGTTGAATCGTGTGAATATTAATCAATGTCGTGGGTTCCATCCCCACCGGGTCCAACATGTTTGTAATCAATTTGATTTTTTTGAAAAATTTTGTTTTTTTTATTTGTTGGTCAATTCCGTCCGGGCCACAAACCAACACAGTTGAAATAGCCGTGAACTTTCATCGCGTGTCGGTTTCAGTCGGTGGAATTCCGAATAACTAATGCCAAAATAGGTCAACAGCGCATCTTCTTCTTCTTCTTCTTTTTTTGTATAGCACCCACGTCGGGTAATAGTGACGTAGAGAGTATGGTAAATTGTACTACACCGTTCTCGGAGGAGATACTCGACCAGAACCACTTAACACACCACCAGCTACTGTACTTTGGGGGGAGGCCTGGTATCACACCAAAGTTAGGGTATTTCACCTACCATCAAGTGAACCATTGCTTGTTTATACTCATCCATTTTTAAAAATTCAATTTCCCCAACCATTTTCTTATCTGTGTTATTTTTCCACAGATAGTTGACGGAAATGCAAAGACAGACGTCTCAAACCGAAAGGAGCCGGGGCTCTTCTGCGGCGAGATAGAGCAACCGCAAACTTTCATATCTGAGACTAACTTCGTGAAGATCGTCTTTCATGCAGATAACTTCACAGATCAGACGTACTTCAGTTTCGATTCTAGGTGCGATAGTATTTAATTACTGTTTTGAAGTTGATAACTTTGTTGTAACCAATGTTGTACGTTTTGTTAAATATTAAAAAGACCTTTAAGTATTTTTTGTATTTTGTCCGAGTAGTAAACATATTTAATTGTTTAAAACGCGAAATGTATTTAAATTTAACGTATTAAACAATATATTTTATTCCCCCCTGGGATAGGGACAGTAGTAAAAATATATTATAAATAAGTTAACATTTCGCGTTTAAACCATTTCAAATTTTATTTATAAGGACTTTAGGAAATGTATTAATTGTTAACAAATTACAGAGCGGAGCAACAATTTGAAGTGTATCTGAGATATGGCCAGCATCCAGAGTTGTATCCAAACAGAAGAGGGGAAGTGGTAGCTGGGTAAGACTAACTATTTAATATCGAAAAATAATTTAATAATGACAAAATATAATACATCCATTCTTAAAAAAATGCGCACACAACGAAAGGTTATATTAAAGGCTTTCTCGATAAATGGTCTAAAAAAGTTCCTGTGATGAGTACGTTCAAACAAACTCTCTATTAAGTTAGGACATAGGACACTCTAGGCGTCTCTTTAAAAGCAAAAATATTTAAAAAAACTTTCCTGAAAAGTACAAATTTTGCACCGTCAAAAATGTGTAAATCCACGCCGCCATCCCTCACTTGATTACAAGTTATAAATCAGGGAGCGCAATAATAGGTGGCCGGTCGCACGTCGACAATTCAACGCGATTTATTCACAATTTCGGTCACGTTCTGCCCAAAGTGCTTGCCATTTGGAGGCTGCCAGAAAATGATTCTGCGCTGACAGTTTGCTAAAGGGTCTTAGTAATTGGCGAGTCCATTTATTTGACAATAACATTTGATTGGCGCCTCAAAAGTCACAGACGTCGTTTAAAGTGCTTTCACAGAGTCGGTGCAAGATAACGAGTTTGTACATTGGTATATGGTACAAGTGGTCATTTAAAACCACTTATATAAGTGCTATGGAAATTTGATGGCTTAATTCTGATACGCACCGGCACGAGAGGTGGTGAGTTTGGATCCCAGGAAAGCAATAAAGTTTTTTTAGTTAGGTATAGCCCGAGATTCTAACGCAAGACCTCCACGCAATTGTAATGTGAGTTAACCATTAAGACAGAAGGGTTCGATTCACTTCTTCAAAGATTTAAATGTCTTCTTTAATTACTATATTTTCCGAGTACTTGACGGACAACATGGCACGTGGCTTCGATTCCCATCAGATTCAACATGTTTATCATATATTTTAAATTTTTCTCAAGCATGTGACACCGCACGAATACCCTGGCCATTTAATGGATAATAGGAATCTGGCTATTGCCGGTTTAATAGATTAATAAAATAAATGGGAAGTAGTTAAAGTCACAAACCGCTATACATAGATTTTAGTCTGTGGATTGTTGAATGTCCAAAGTTAAAACTAGGTTTACACAGCATCTTAATTAGATGTTTTAGTGTAGTTAGCTATATCAACATCGAGTAAAACCCAAGCTTGACTATCCTCTATCATAAAAAAAAAATAATAATAAAAACAAATTTTATAAAGTTTTATATGAATTTTACCGAATCTCGAAGGGGACGTAGATTTATGTTCGTAATCAGATGCGGGGACCGCTGACATAGGGATTTTATTGGTCTGAACCAATATTAGCTGACGAAGTCGATTCTATTTGCAGATTTTCATTTTCTAAAGTGACTCCTGTAGTTTGAATAACGTTATAGTCTGTGGCAACATTGTATATCTGCTTTTATAAGAAAATGTCTGTTTTTACATAATTATTTGTCATGAAAACAGTATCGTTATAATCTCGTCTTAATAGCTATGTAAATATTAAAATTTTAAAGTACATCTAAATGTATTAAGCAACCAACGTAGCTTTCTCTGAACCAAAGTATTAAGGACATAGTAAATTAATTAAAATGAATATTGTTTACACAGTTACAAACAATATTTTCTTTACCTTTGAGAACGGAAACATTAATTCATATCCGTATGGAAACGAGGCCGGAGGGAATATAATTTTGTTCTCATTTATATCATTATGGTTCGTCTCGGGAGGGCGGTCGTTAATCACAGCAAAATGTTACATAAAGAAAGCTTAAAACTGCTTTATTCATTTTACTTTAATGTGTTTTAAGAAAATTATTTTTCACTGCAAAAATTACCTATAAATTTAATACTGTTCTATCTGAACTCTGAACAATGTTGTTTTATTTTTATTAACGCTAAAAAATTTATAAAATACTTCTTTGAGACGGTTCTATAAAATTAAAATTCGATTTTCGATTGAAACAACTTTAACGATAATTCAATTAGTTACAGAAACATAACGGAAGCCAGTTCGTGAATTTTTTTTTCAATCTTAAATTTAAAATACTTCTGAGTTGAGAAGTTGTACCGACTCGATTACGATTTCAAAAAAACGTATAGACCTAGTTGTAATTTATATTACTAAGCAATTGTTTATACAAATATATAGAATGCTTATTTAATAAAAATAAAAATTATTCTTTGACTGCTATAGAGTAGAAGAATAGCAGATTCGAGTTTAATAATGGTCAGATTTTAAGTCAGTTTAAAGCCAGTTAATGTGCTGGTGAAAAATCACTATAAGAATTCACTTTGTTCGACTTCGATGAACATTTTATAAGTATTCTGAAAAATATAATATTTCTCAGATCATACTGCGAGCGAGTCTTCAGGGACTGTCGACTTCAGACGTGCTACGTTCAGTCGGCTGCGTACCCCGGGGTATACCCAAGGAATCTGCACTGCAGGTAGCTGCTAATTAAATTACAGGATGGGGGGCTGTCCAGTGCACGGGGAATATTGATAAAAAGATCAGATAAAATACCCATGCAAGTTGTCGTACACGTTACAATATAATTCAATTTATCTTATCATATTTTAATATATGTGAACGCATCTGTAGCTAAATCATTAAACGTGTTTCCTATTGCGTTAAGCGCGAGAGGTACTGGGTTCAAATCCCGGGGAAATAATACATTGTTTCGATTGGGTCTAGTCCAATCTATCAGCTACCTACTTGCTTGTAAATAAAACCGAGTGACACAGACACAAATATGTGTTTGCGCACAAAGCAATAGCATTTAATTTGAAAATTTTGAAATTGTTACTAAATAATTGTAGTCAGTCTGTTTGTACATGTTAGACTAACAGTCTACTTGGGCAACAAAGACTATGCTTAACTTCAAATTGGATGACATTAAAAATATAGTTAAGTATATTTTACATAAATAACTTCATCGATGTATTTGAAAACTGATATATTGTTCACATGTTATTGCACATGGTGGCACTATATGAATTCAAAATCGATTTTAGATTGAAATAATTTTACGACATGAGCCGGAATTGAACCGGCATCAATAGCGCACCGTGCTGTTACTCTAACCAGCACGATTGATTCAGTTCAAGTACTGCCCGTGTTGTGAATTTTTTTCTATTTACAATCGATTTTTAATTCATCGTTCATTCATACAAAGTAACATTTAGTAAATGAGTATAATACGTGTTTATATTCGGCTTTTAATAGAATACTTGAATATTGCTGTTTCCCATAAGATAAATAAATATTGTATTTTAACAGATACCACCTCAATACAAGGCTTCCTTATATAAAGCTATATATTGAGAATGAAGAGTTCAACATAGACGGACAACGGTGTGAGAATATAATGACCTGTCCTATGAGACCCATTACATCAGGTAAGAAGCCTACGCCTAAAGACATTAAATAACACAGTTTCAACGGTAAAAATAACAATTATTTGATAAAATATTTTTTTAATTCGACCTTTCGTAAATACTTACCTTTTTAATGTAAATAAATAAGTTTTATTGTGCATGTGTGTGGGCTTATATGGTTTATAATATAACCACAATTACCTTAGTAAGATAGGTATCTCCTTTGTCTCGTTAAGCTGCTTATAAAGTTAGCTAGCATAATAAACCACTTATGCCGTACTTTAGGGCTAACCCTTTACAGAGATCCTACTAAGGTATTATGTTCTGTAGAATTATTATTATTGTAACTATTTATTCTACTTAAGTTAAAATAAATATCGTCGCAACAAAGAGCTAATCATTAGGGACTTGTGTACGATTTACAATGAATCCAGCATACCTGTTAATTTGTCTTTTTATCTGGTCGCGAACCAAAAAAATCCATGAAAATCTTATGTCTAAACGTTAGTATATGTTATAGGGTTGGGGTATATCATGAAAACCATGTTTTTTTGTCTTTTCTGTCTCTGGTCTATGTCTTAATTAGATCTATATTATAGTGAATTGATTTTATTTAGTCTATCTCATAAAATCGACATGAATCTATTCATTTATTGTATATAGATTTTTTAACAAAGAAATTGATGAATAGGGCCATATTAACGGACGACCCATCGCCGTTTGATCTTTAAAAACTTTTTTCCCGCTATAACGTAAACAATAAAATTTGAACAAAGGCTTTCCACACAATAGCACAATATCCACAATAGTGTATCCGGGCACACAATATCCTGACTTCGGGACATATTGTTGAGAAAATGAAATAAAAATCTCAAAGCAAAGCGAATGTAATTCCGGATGACGCCAGAGATTGACGAACAAGTTTGTGCTGAAGGCTCTACGAAAGCTTTCATGGCTTTTGATGCTGCGAACTAGTTTTTTTCCCTTTTTTGCAAAGTTTGAATGTATTCGCATATTTTTAGCTTTGATTTAATACATAGATAATTCATATTAATCTGTTCAAAAGAAACATTCGCACATCACTAGCTAAGCAGTCTTGGGTTCAAATCCCGGGAAAGATTAATTCAACTTTTAGTTATATTAGGAACCATGATCTCATAAACAACTAGCTAGTATAATAAAGCGACCGGAATACCATAACAGGGGAACCAATTTCAGAATGTAAAAAATTAAAATGTATATCAGTCTCCTCGTGACCAAGGCTGCTTCAAAGCATCCGAAACGTCGGGCCTAATAAGTTTAACTAATATATCACGTTTTAAACCGTTAAAGTGTTTTATTTAAATGTATAAGCTCGTCTGCACTAATTTTACTTCACGAACAAGAACGCAACCCGGCTTTTCTGTACTACCAAGACACTTATTGATGTTTCTTACAGCTTAGTACCGTTGTATCCCAATGGTAGGCGTGTTTTACCACTAAGCCCAGATGATTATTAAAAGACAATCTCCAATGTTTAAAACATTTTACCTCATAAAATGACTTAGCCTCCCTCGTAACGAACCTGAAAGTTTTGACGCAAAGACGCAATATCGACTAAAGTTCCCTAAAACGGCGGGATTTCGTGTCCATTATTGGATCTTTGTTATTTATTAACGTTATGAATTACCGCCTCACCTCACGGAATAACGATAGAAAAATTATTGGATACTTTCGAAGCCTACCTGCGCTGTCCCATTCGTTACGTCATAACAGCTTTTATGTTCTTTATGGCTTAGACCTCTATAGCGGGGAATGATCCGGGATTTTTATAACAATCTTTAAAATTATAGACGAGTTTTTTTTTACTGCCTTTAGGATTTAATTAGTTAATAGAGTACCTACTTGTATGTAAAAAAACGGTTAGTGAAACAATCCTCAATCTCTGGCCTAAATAAATTAAACAGTATTTCGTGTTATATTTTAAGTACGATTTTTGTTCATTGATCACTGCTTTCAGGATTTATCAATTATTAAAAGTATAATTGCTTTAATATAGTGATGTCACTATTGAAAATATATATTTAATGAGAAAACTGTCCATTTTAAATTTAGAAGCAAACAACGTAACAGTATTATAAAGGACATACCATGGACTGGGGGTCAATGGATGTTGTTATAGATTTTCTTTGTTACAGGATCAGAAAACTGTCCGTACGACTACATACGGATATACGACGGAAAAGACGAGTCTGCTTCGGTCATCGGCACTTTCTGTGGAATGGGCAAATTTCCCTACTCAATTATCGGGACATCGCAAGACCTCTTTGTCGAGTTTGTCAGTTCGCCTGCAGGTAAGATGTCTAAACATAAATCAATCGTTACATTCACATTATACACAACAAACAACTTACAATTTTAACAGAAACTTGAAACGAACATCAAAATGTTTAATACATAATAATAAAAAATATAGTTTAATTGATTTAATAAAAATGAGTTGTGTATAGTACTAGCAGCGGTTTCTTCTAAACAAAATACTTAAAGAATAAAAATTAACAAAGCAAAAATCTTATAAGCTTTATGTAAAGCTCCTCAAAGCTTGTATCACATATTTTATATACTGTCTGTAGTTAGTCAGACTCCCCGTGACCACAACTTCTGCAAAGCATCCGAAAATAATTTTTTTGTTTTAAACCGTTAAAGTGTTTTATCACATATTTTATGCCATTGGTATTCAATCATATGAGTGTATTTAGTCCAGAGAGAACTAAGCCATATAACTTAGACCCAGTGATAAAACTTTCCTCATCTAGTCCATGTTGATGAACAAAGTTCATTTCAACTGGATTTAAAGTGTTGTCAAGAATTACAATCGTTCATATTAATATTTTAATTAATGAGGTGCGATTGACAAATAAAAAATTGGTTAAAAAATAAAATAAAATTGCTATTAAAACAACAATTACATATAATTAGTATTTGGAAGATACGATCCAGAATATGAAGAATATTTATTTCTGCCTCTTTATAACATATTGCATTTAAATAAAACACTTTAACGGTTTTTGGAATTTATTTTAACTAAGGCAATTGCAAGGACTCGGTCAGTTTCGCCAAAAAATAACTACAACAGAACAGATGGCGCTAGCGTAGCAGTTTTTACTTTGACATTTGAGACATCCTCCATCTTTAGTCTACCTGTGACCACGGCTGCTGCAAAGCATCCAGAGAGGCCGTAGTTAAAAGACATTTCAAATAAGTTTAACTAATATAAACCGTTAAAGTGTTTACTACTCGCGTAAATTACAGACAGTACATATAACATCTATTAAAATTATTAGGTCCACTTCTAAATACGGGTTTCCACTTCAATGTTGGCAACTGGCCCGGACACGTCGAAGCTCCAGGGTCAAAAATTGGAAACTGCGACTGGCTTCTTACAGCTGAATCTCTTAAAAGATCTGGGGATACTGAGGGTATCTTTCTATCTGTGGCCCATTGGTACCCCCCACATACATCTTGCACCTACTTGATGCAAGGGTTTCCTGGACAAGTTGTGAGGCTGTATTTTCCAAGGTGAGAAAAACTGTATTTAATTAACTTTTGTGTGCGCTCAAATGAATGATAAGTTTAATTTTTGTGGAATGTCAGAAATATTTTGTAATGTTTAGGAGTCGAACACAAGCATGTTGAACGCATAACGAAGCAAGCACTAAAACACGGAGGCAATCAAATTTTGTAAAACAAACACATGCCTCATCTATTTTATAAATAGTAACAAAACTTGCTTAGTAACAAAACATATTTCATAATATCGATATTTCACTTTTCCTCAAGCATTGTTCGCTTCATACATCACTCAAATTAAGAGATAGAGTAGCGATAATACGAGAAGAGAAATATAGTTCATAATATACTGAGCTATCTTGTCAATAGGCTATTAATTCTTATCGTACGTCAATGGCTCTAACTCCCTTTGATGAAGATTAAAGTGGAAAAGTGGGCTTACCTAAAGTGGGCTGTCTAAAAGGCTAATGCCCGGTAGATATTAATAATATTACTGAAGCGTAAAAAATATTACGTATATTAAGGAATAACATTTATATCTATACATACTAATATTATAAAGCTAAAGAGTTTGTTTGTTTGAACGCGCTAATCTCAAGAACTACTGCTTCGAATTCAAAATATATTATTTATTAAATAGACATTGATTTAAAAAACTATAATAAGGCTAAGTTAAATACTAGTGAACGATTAATTGTAGATCAACGTTTTTATGTATAAGAAATACGTATACGACCTATATAATATGATAATTGAAAGATATATACGTAACGCACGTTGTAACGCATTACGTAACAAAAAAGGTCTAATGGTCACTTTAAACATGTACAGTATTGAAAGATAACGTGTTTATTAATTTTAGTTTTCGAATCAACCGGATTGAGTCACCAATAGTGCCTTGGACGGGAGATTGTGGGGAATCCCTGACATTATATGACGCTCCTCGGCCAGATGATGCGAAGATAATAAAGACATTCTGTGACACATTCAGCAGACCGATGGAGAAACACGACTTCGTGTCTACTGGAAATGCTATGTTTGTCAGATTTGAAAGTAAAACCGGCAGTTATAGTGGGTAAGACTATTATTTATATTATAAACATATTAGAAAAATGTTGGACCCGATGGAGAACGCACCCACGACCTGGTGATCATTAGCCATACTTTGCTACCACCAATATACCAACAAGCCCGTCAACTGTGTCTTTTATACTTTTGTTTTTTTTTATTCTATAGTTATAAGTCTTTATAAGTAAGACCCCGACGATCATCCGTTTCAAGTGAATTTATTTCTATCTGCTAAAATCTACTGACCTATTTTGTGTGGCCACTACGAGAAATCAATTGTAATAAAATTATGAAAGTATTTAAGAGGTTTTAATAGTTTTACAGAACTATAAATTTTTGTGCCCGACTCGCTCTTTGCTTTTTACGAACCCCTAAATCGGCTTCCACAATAAAACTACCCATTAGTTCCCCCACACACCGTCTAACCCACGCCAATCAATACGGAATAGACCAATAATAGCGTTTCCTCTAATCATGTAATTGAGGTCCATTACAGCGTTGGCTTTTGTTACTACCCTCATATTTCCAGAGTTTCTTACACGCAATGCTATCTTTCGCGCTCGATTATTACCATTATAAGTAAGAGGTGGAGGGAGGGGGTTCAATAAGTCTCTTACAGTATGTACGATAAAAGTCACTTTACGTTATATACAATCTTGTAATTTTTTTTTCTGACGTAAAGACCGAAAAAATTTCTTCAGAAGTTTACAATTTCATGGTCCATATCCATAGTAATACTATATATTTATAAATAATAAATCATAAGTGTTTTTTTAAATAAATCACTAACTGTTTTAAAACGCGATTATAATTTAACTTTTGAAAATTATTTTACGTAGGTAAAATAATTTTACGTTTCCCTTCAAATAAGCTTTACTACAATAAAGCGTGTTTTAAACTGTTAAAGTGTTTAATTTAAATATGTACTACTCGCTAAACTACAGACAGCATAAATATTTTGTTATTTCATGTTTGACTTTTACATAAGTATCGCTTATCTCTCCAATTACAATCACCTCCCGTGACCAATTGCTGCATAGAACCCGCAATGTCGGGCCGTAGTTAAAGAAATTAAAAAGATATTTAATATAATTCGCATTAACCGTTCCTCACGCACCGTACCTCACTACCGACAATATTTATAGGTAATTTTGAAGATTGTTTATATGTAGTTTTTTTAGTAAACTCTATCCACCTTATATATAAATATGAAACATATGATAATTATTAACGTTGAATATTAACATTCAGATCATCCCTCTACTATTGGGCGCATTATGATTTCTTCAACAATACTCGTTTCGGAGAACCAGTAAGTGGAACTGCCTGTGACGAGGTCATTGCCTCCTGGAAGCAACGTGCGGGTAGACTGAGATCGCCACTAAATACTTTAGTATATAAGCAAGCACCCCCCGGGGAAGATGTTCATTGCTTGTACAAATTCGTGACGGATAAGAGGATCTACGCTAGGGTTATTTTGACAATTCTTAGCGTGAACTTTAAGGTAAGTCAATAAGACGAAATAATATTATTATTAAGTGAACAAACTACTAACTAAAAAAGCTTGCCTATTTTACAATTTACTTACTTTTACGTAACCAAACCACAATAAATAAATAGGTATATAAAAGAAAATAATTTTTAAAGGATGGCGCAGGTAATACGCTTAAAATTGAATTGTTGTGAAAATTTCCTATTAACTCCTTTGAATATGAATAACAACGAGCGATGATAAAATAAATTTGTATCAATAATACAAATTAACACGACGACATTATTCTCAATATATGCATGCCATGTTTGTGTATTTGTGTACATTATATATTTATGCATAACGTGTTATTTCTATTTGTTGCGAGATTATTTTTAACTTCAAATGAAATAGTCAATAGGTAAATATCATAAAGATCTGAAGAAATTTGAAACTAAAATGGCAATAAAGCAGACTGTTATTTGCTACGATGTTCGTGAATTTAATTAATAGGTGTTTCATTTAAATTTTATATCTCACAAAACGGATGTTAATCTCCGGTTTTCGATTCTCAGTAAATAAGTGTGCATATTTTTATATTTCCTTCGCTGGAATAATATTCTTTAACGCGTTGCAATTATATTTCTTCTTATCAAGCAAAAAGTCCCAACAACATTGTTAGATTTAATAATACAACAACAGGTTTTTCAATTTAATGTAATGATAATATTGTTTTTCACTTATCATAACGATTACTTAATTGCAGGAACATCCATACACTCCAGTATCATGCCAGAACTGTTATGAAGACAGAGCCGACAAATTAATCATCTGGGAACCGAATCCCGGTGGCAGGCCCGGAAACCTCTCGCTTGGTGTAACAACAACCCCACTTCCTCTACATCTAGCTGTTCAGCGATCTATCGGTTCCTGCCTATGCGCAAAACATGCAAATACCGTATCACGTTCTAGACCATATAGGGTCGTGTCTTCTGGAGAATCTCTAAATTTGCAGTTAATTGTAGACAATGCACATGCTGCAGCATCGTATTTCAAGAATCCGTCACCTCTTTTTGAAGCCAGGTATGAATTCGTGCATGGACCTCTTTGTGGGCCAGCGGTTTTAGCAGCCGCGTCTGATGGAGAAATTGTTTATCCACATTTAGAGGCACTCGGTTACACAGAACCACCAAAAAGGATACAATGTATTTGGGATCTTGAGATCGAAGAGAAAAGGGATATTTGGCTTCACTTCGATAGCATTAAATTTGCATCACGACACTGCGATGAAGGGAACATACAGATATTTTTACCAGGGCGAATAGAACCGTACTTGTCAGTTTGCGGAGAGAATGTGTCTCTAGCTCGGGAACTACCAATACTGTCAGCTGGCGAGCTAGGTTTTGAATCTTTAGATGATCCATTGGTGATTGAGAAGGAGAAAACTAGATCCATAAGAATCTTATTTATCGGGAGTGCATCGCCCGCACGCGCCACATTTAAAATAGCATGGACTGGTTTATATCATTTACCTAAGAATTCCGACGGCACATTGATGACATCGCGTTTAACCGACAGCGGTTCGGGTGCACCTGAAGGGCATAACTGTGATTTTATATGCCCCGGCGAGGAAGCTCTATGTATCCCAGCTAGACTCATATGTAATGGAGTAGTTAATTGTCCCAATGTTACAAGCGGGGAAAGAAGATTTTGGACAACAGAGGAAAAACGCGCTAGGGAAGCTTATTCGGAGGATAGCTTACGCAGGCTTGGTTATTTGGACGTGTTAAACGGTTTACAGTTAGGCAAACTTCATGACGAGGCCCCGGAATTATGTACTGGGGCTAGAATGACAGGTGGAGGTGATTGGATGGCACCTGCATTAGGAGCGGCACTCGCTGTAGCTATAAGTGTTTGTGCGCTAGGAGCAGCTTGGCGGCTGTGTTGCCGCAAGCGATCTCCTGATGAGGAATCATTAGATTACTGACATGCGGTTCGCGGTGCGCACGCGCCGCCTGCCCTTCACTCGCGATCAGCGTCCAGGGATCTACCCATGGATTGGAGTTTACATTGACAGACGTTATATTGAGTGCCAGATTCGCTTGTTAAAACTCGTTTCTCTGACGTGAATTATAACTAAGTGTATTCACTACCTAATGTTTATTTGTCTGTCTATTTTGTTTTAAATGTTATTTAAGTATAATGGAACTCATTTTTTATTTCGAAAACAGTAGTAGCATTCTTCTTCAAACACAGCGTATTATTAAAGACATAAGCACAAGTCCTCAGATGGCAAGGACATAAAATTTATTCATGAAATATTTGTTTATATAACACGCATATAAAATTTGGCACTCAAACTTGTTGTAATTAGTGTATATACCCTCTAGTTATCCTAATATTGAAAGCTTATCATCGGATATGGTACAACTAAAGTGCCCTCAGCTGGACACAGCGTTGTAAGATCTAAGTACGATGCGCTGTCGGTTTTTTTATGGATTGTATTACTATTATATCAATGCCATATTAAACAGATGAAGGCACTTTATTTATGACAATCATAGGTTAGTGAAAGGTGATATAGTTATTGACGTGCTGTTTAGAATAAGTAATCATAGAACTTTTGATAATTCCCGAAATTCTCTATCTGTTAACGAAATTTCCGCTCAATTTTTATAAGACCAACATACTGCCGACTGATAAGATTTCCTTGATTGTAAAATTATTACGTTATACGCAAATATCGCACATTTCATGGTGTCATAATTGTTACTAATTTAGCTAAAGTAAGTGGACGCAACGTCGCAGTCAAATGTTTTTATGATTACGTCAAGTTAGTCAACTTATAACATTTTTTTTGAGTAGGCTTCGTTCTCTGACTAAGCTTCAAACATCTATAGAGCCCCAAGAAATATTAACAGACGGTAACAAAGGTGTAACGAGAACTAACGTGTCGTTACTTAATAACGAAATTTTTGAAGTATTTTAATATTTAATTTAGGTCTCATATGCCCGAATAATCGTTAGTGGGTACCTGTCTCAGCAATTTGACTACGACATTGTAAATGTTACGATGTATAATATTCCTATAATTAAGGTATTACGTAAGAGAAGTCGATGACCGTTTGAGCAAAGTAAAGTTGCACAAATTAGCAATTTTTGTATAGCGCAAGTAGTAAAAGAATTGTTACTATGCAGCATTGTATGAATGTATCTAAAATTTTTTGAACGAATATCTAAGTGTGCCGAAGCTTGTTTAGTTCCTTATAGTTATTTTCAGTTTGGAACGAATTTGGCTTATCGATTTATTTGGAAAGACGTCATTAAATTTAATAAGTGGATAAACTTTAATACAAAATGTCTATCGTAACTTATACCGCTTGTATGTTTTAAATACATATTATTTAGTAATGACATCAAATATAACTAAAGTTTAATAAAACACTTTAACGGTATAAAACGCGATATATATTAGTCAAACTTATTTGAAAATTATTTTAACAACGGCCTGACCTTTCGGAGCAGTAGCCGTGGCTACGGGGTGACCAAAGATGGCAACAAGTTTAAGTAATATACATCGCGTTTTAAACTGTTAAAGTGTTTTATTTAAATATGTCCTCGTGTAAACTACAGAGAGCATTCAATAGCTGGAGTTATCAATAAATATAATCGAATATTGCGTGTATTAGCGGCTTAAAACATTAAGCTCTCAGATGAAATGTATCTATTGAAACAGACTCGGTTTAGAGCGTTCCATCTCCTCGTCATGTTTTATTCAATATCAGCCTCCGAATTAAGTTTATTGTTCCCCGGGAAGTAGATCAAAGTTATTTCTTTTATTTCTCATTTCGTTAGGAAAAACTTCGGTAAAATTCATTCAGTTACTACGGAATTCAATAACTTTGCAATTTCTGTAATCTCGGCGTATTTCAGTACTTTTATTGAAATATTTTTCGCATATTTCGCTGTGTACCCAATAAGTGCTGGTATATTTTTGCATAATATTTGGAAGTAAAATTATTATGTTTTAAAATTTATTAAACTGTAGAAACACTCATCTACCATTATATAACTCATCGAATATTACAGCAAATATAACTTACTGATGTGGCAACATAATGTCAAAATACACACAGATCAATTATTACTGTTTTCTACTTTAAAATGTTACTCCAATAACCAACGCATTATTATTACTATCCAGTTATGTTATTTGAGACACCTTTCTTAATACTACACAATAGTTGTACTATGTTATCTTAACAATTAGCGATTGTTATGGGATGACGAAACTTGTGTTGAATTATCAAATAAAATGTTGAGATAAATATATTTTGTACAAAATATATCTTCTTTTATTTTTAATATTACTTTTAACTTACCTCGTATATAAAACAACAAGTACTTGTAAAGGGGACCGCCTCTGTAGCCAAATGGTTAAACGTTAGTATTGCATTCAGCGCGAGAGGTCCTGGGTTCGAATCCCAGGGAAACAATAAAAATGTTTCGGTCCGGCAGGGCACAGAAGTCTGATCAACTACTTGCTTGCCTGTTAAAGAACGGATCAGTGAAACGAACACAAAAATGTGTTCGCCCCATGCCCCACCGGGGGGAAACGGGATTTCACTTGTAAGGAGGTATTATAACGTTAATTAATATTTTAACGATAAAAATGCTTTGATAAAACGGTTAGGAGGAACCAGCTCTAACAAGATAAAATATGTAATAAAGTAAGGAAAGGCTGTAAAAAAAAACTTGGCGATAAAAGGAGTGGCGGCGAGTTTCTTGCCAGTTCCTCTCGTTTGTTCTACGCCCTTGAATTGAGAACAGTAGTACATGAAAATTTAGTGTCTTTAGTTTTCTGCGTGATCGCATCGCATACCTAGTTACCTACGTGAATAGATGATTTTTGAATTTTTTTGAAATTCCTATGAAGCTGTCGCCTTATAATATTTACAAATTTATGAAAATACCTCTTATATTTAGTTTATTTAATTTATTAACTTTATTAATTACAAAACCACAGAAATGGTTTACAACAATACTGTTTACTCAGTACTGTGTACTCTTTACGCTATTAAGTACTTTATATTAAATAGTAAAAAGCTTAATCTAATACACTAAGGTTATCTGCCACCCCGGGATTCGAACTCCTTTGCACCAAGTTTTGCAACTAAGTTGATCAAGTTCCTTATAACTACATATATAGTCTTCCATACAATTTCATTTACTAGAATCCAGGTGCTTACTGATGCAGTCTATTTGAAAATATCGAGTCTCCGAGCGAGGCACTTGTCAACGACATTCACGATATTTTACAAGTCCAAGACTTATCGTTTCAATGGGATTTGAGGAATATTTCAACATGGATTCTCAATCTTGCTGTAAATGCACCGTACGAATTGTAATTTATTTCACTGTAGACGTTAGAAAGAGCTTAAGCTAGGATTGTAGTAAGATTCGTTTTCAAATTAGTTGATTTTTGACAATTTAACGTATATTTTATCGCTGTGTTAAAGGATAATATATATGTAGATGTATGGTTCTATTTGAGTATTTATTTATTTAAGAAAACAGGAAACAAACACAAATATCACAGTATAATATTATCGGAAATACAGGTCAATATCCTCAAAAGAGTCTATCGAAGAACACATACTATGAAGGGGTGCACGAAACCCTATATTGGTCCTCGGAGTCGGTATATTAAATGTTCTGTGAGTGCGCAGAGGCCTGGCTACCTACCAGTAAGTGAGTAAATACGTTTATTAATATTTTTTTTAGAAATACTTTCTTATTATTTTATACTGAGCACACTGATACAAGGTGTGGTGGATTATGTTAGATGCTGAACATGTCACAAGCAAGTACTTAATTTTATTAATATTATAGTCGACAAGGCGCCGTATACCAGCAAAATAAGATATAAAAGCTTTCCTAAGCCATAATAGTATATAAATATTAATTTAATTGTAATTGGTAAATTGTAAATTGGGTAACCCTATTTAATTTTTACTTTTGTAGGTTCAAAGAAATTCAAAAATCTATTAACTTTGTTTAAGTTCATATTTTTATATATCGATAAGATACCTAGGTGAAGAAATCCTAATAAATGTTTGTAAATGATGCTGTCCCTATAAGATACTCTTAATTTTTTTTTATTAAGTTAGAATTAATGTCCATAAAGACCATCACGAAACACTGAAGATTAGATTAACCACTTGTGGAATAAAGAATGCAGTATAAATTTAAATAAAAATTTATGATCCAGACTAAAGACTTGGATAGCGAGTGAAAAAAATAAAAATTACCTCCCGCAGAAAGATAATTAAGTCTTGAGGGGATAAAATTGTCGTCGAATGAAAGAGCGGAAACGAATTGTTTAACGTTCAAAGTGAACCGAATTAACATTATTAACCGCTTCAAATAGTGCTTAATCAATTTGGCATTGTAGCTGGAAAAGAATTTTCTAGAATACATTTTAAACGTAACGTCGTTTTTAAGAACAGTTTTATTGAAATATCGATTTCTGTTTTAATATTCTCTGAACATCAAAAAAACATATATTCCTAATAATTTACCTTATCGTGTATGTATGTGCGTAATTGTAGAACTATAGAAATAGACAACATAAGAGTCTGCTAGAGACAGAATGGCCTAAAATTAAGTGATTATCAATAACGGGGAAAATAAAAATGGGCGAACTTAGGCGAAAATAGATTTGTCCTATTATTTGTGCAAGAATTATGTTAACAATTTTCGGTCAATGTGCTCTTGTATACTTCCATTTTTATACTATAAAAAAATAAATACGTCAAGCCATAAAATTGTAGTTAGGCTACTGTGCCTCTAGCGGCCTCATATATAGTTAGTGCTTGTTAAGTAAACGATTTAGAATTACAGAGTAGCTTTATCTAATTAAATAACCTTTTTTCTTCTTGATTCAACTTACTTCGCTGGTGCAGTGAGCTTAAGTAAGTTTTGAGT